CAAACCATAAAATAAAAAAATGAGAATTTACATTGTGGAAGGAGGATGAAGTCCAGGAGCTAAAGTGGAGAGTGAAGGTCCACTGTAACTAATGAAATCCTTGTTATCACAGCCGGCTTGCAGTAAGGAACTGAGTCTGAGAGGAACACTGAAAGGAGCGGTAGCTCAGATGCTACACTGGCCCCAGAAACCCAGCATCTTCCTCAGTCTTTTCTTCTCCCCTCTACCACCCCTCCTCTCAGGTGAAGGATCATTCATGATGTGGCGGCATCCCACATGGACAGAATGACAGCCTGTGCTGCTCCCAGGTGCCGCTAGGTGGCAGTGCGCCCTAGGCGGCCTTCTAGTTTGCCAAGTGCAGGGGTAGGCAACCTGCGGCTCTCCAGCTGTTGCAGGACTACAAGTTCCATCATGCCTCTGCAAGTCATGGCTGTAACTGTCAGTTTTGTAATGTCTCATGGGAAATGTAGTTCCACAACAGCTAGAGAGCTGCAGGTTGCTTACCCCTGATCTAGCCAAACATTTGTAATTCATTTCAGCTGTGTTCATATTCGTCACCTCATGTGTTTAAATATTTTTTTCTTTTGTTGCTTTTGTTGCTCGTTCAATTTTGTTCCAAGCTCCTGTTTCCCATTTTTCCAAGAACTGGAGAGGATCGGTACCCTCCATAGCCATAAGAATCTTATAAATCCTGGAGGTGCCTTGTTTAGGAACTTTAGTTACATTCAGCAGTTTTTCAAATGGATACAGATCCTCGACGTCCTTAATGGTTATGGAAGCATTGAGACAAAATAACCTAATTGGACATACCGCCACTCATCTAATGTGAAAAATAAATCTTAATAAAGTCTGAAAATGTGTGCAATTTCCCCTTATTCAGTATATCCTTCAAACGTGCATTCTTATCTTTAATTTATTTCCCAGAAATATTATCCTTCCCCAGAGGCAACTACTTCGTTTCCGCCAAAGGAATCATAACTGAATTGTATTTCCATCCCTTTTGCTTATATATTCTATCCCAAACACCTAAAGTGGAATTCCACTCGCGCTGTCAAAAAATAAAAGTCAGCAGCTACAAAAACTGTAGCTGCTGACTTTTAAAAAACAGCCACTTACCTGTCCCTCAGTCCCGCGGTGTGTCCCCTGCAGCTGTCACCAGCCGTCCTGTATTCCAGGAAGCCGGCATCTTCAGTGTGGGCACCTGGCTGTGATAGCTTGCAGCTTCACAGCTGGGTACCCACTGCGCATGCGCAAGTAGTGCTGCGCTTCATGAATGGTCCTATAGTCTTCTGGGACCTATCACGTGTCCCAAAAGACTACAGGGAGGGAGGGAGGGAGGACACCTTCCGCTTCCGATCGCCTAGTGGAAGCACCGTCCCTGGATGTATACCGCCCAGTGATGTTTCCAATGTTGATTTTGAGTCTGTGTTGATTTGGGAAGCCATGTCATCTGCTGGTGTTGTCCACTGTGCTTTATTAAGTCCAGGGTCAACGCAGCCGTCTACCAGGAGATTTTGGAGCACTTCATGCTTCCTTCCGCAGACAAGCTTTATGGGGATGCTGACTTCATTTTCCAGCAGGACTTGGCACCTGCCCACACTGCCAAATGCACCAAAACCTGGTTCAATGACCGTGGGATTACTGTGTTTGATTGGCCAGCAAACTCGCCTGACCTGAACCCCAGAGAGAATCTATGGGGCATTGCCAAGAGAAAGATGAGAGACATGAAACCAAACAATGCAGAAGAGCTGAAGGCCGCTATTGAAGCATCTGGTCTTCCATAACACCTCAGCAGTGCCACAGGCTGATAGCTTCCATGCCACACCGCATTGAGGCAGTAATTGCTGCAAAAGGGGCCCAAACCAAGTACTGAGTACATATGCATGCTTATACTTTTCAGAGGTCTGATATTGTTCTATGTACAATCCTTGTTTTATTGATTGCATGTAATATTCTAATTTTCTGAGATTGTGGATTTGGGGTTTTCATGAGCTGTAAGCCATAATCATCACAATTATGACAAATCACGGCTTGAACTATCTTGCTTTGCATGTAATGAGTCTATCTCATATATCAGTTTCACCTTTTAAAATGCATTACTGAAATAAATGAACTTTTGCATGATATTCTAATTTTTCGAGTTTCACCTGTACTTCCTAGTTTCCATGCCTAGGCATACATCCCAAGAGTCTTCAGGAGGGAAGGAGGGGTTATCTGAGCCAAGCACACCCTCCTGCCTGTATGCCTGAGCTAAGGGCAGGTGGATTCCAGGAAGTAAATGCTACATGAATCATCTGCCCTTGCTCAAGATGGCCTCAGCCAGAAATGCTAGGGGATGTTTTTCAAAGTGATTTCTTAGCAAAATAAAGCATGGAGACATGGATGGAGGGAGAGTTTGATTTGAATACCAAATAAATTAAAGAGCGTTTTTGGCTTGTGGTGCACAAATACAGTATAGTTTTGCTTTAATCACATTACTCTTGAAATAGCATTGGTCACTTGTGGTAGAACATAGGTTGAGAATGGCAAAGCATTCAAGTTTATTTATTGCCATTGCTAAATTGTGGTAATCTAGTATATTTACTTACTTATTTAGGATTCCTGATATACAGTCCTGGATGAATGAAAATGTATAAAATAACAATAATTCATTGTGTTGATATGGATTAGACCGGGTGTCGGGCAACCCACGGCTCCAGAGCCGCATGCGGCTCTTTTTCACCTTTGCTGCGGCTCCAGAGCACACTGCCCACCAGGTGACAGGCAATAGGGTTGCCGTAGCTCAGTGGTCGGCAAACCGCGGCTCTTTACACATTTTAATGCGGCTCTTCTGTGTGCCGGGCGCCCGCTCCCCTCCCTCCTCTCGGGCGGCCGCCCCAAAAGTCAGGACTCTGCAGCTAGCCCAGCAATGGGCAAACTACGGCCCGGCAGACCTTTTAATCCGGCCCGCGGAGCGTGGCAAACATTGGCTGTCAGGATGTAGGCGGGGCAGCGTGACGAACTCCTCTCCTCTCACAGTCCCGCCCTGAAGACCGGAACGGCGCGGGAACACGGCGAGAGGAACGCGCGGAGCAAAGGTAAGTGAATTGACACAATATGGGGAATTAATTACTATAGGGGGGATGAATTACTATATGGGGGATGAATTACTATGGGGGATGAATTACTATATGGGGGATGAATTACTATATGGGGAATGAATTACTATGGGGGATGAATTACTATATGGGGGATGAATTACTATATGGAGGATGAATTACTATGGGGGATGAATTACTATATGGGGGATGAATTACTATGGGGGATGAATTACTATATGGGGGATGAATTACTATGTGGGGGATGAATTACTATGGGGGATGAATTACTATATGGGGGATGAATTACTATGGGGGATGAATTACTATATGGGGGATGAATTATTATGGGGGATGAATTACTATATGGGGGATGAATTACTATATGGGGGATGAATTACTATGGGGGATGAATTACTATATGGGGGATGAATTACTATGGGGATGAATTACTATATGGGGGATGTATTTTCAGTTTTAAAAATGTGGCTCTCAAAATAAATTTCAATCGTGGTTTTGGCGAGATTTGGCTCAGCTGAAAAAAAAGGTTGCCCACCACTGACCTAAGGCTATGATTGTGATTATGACGATACACTGTGGCCCTGATTAACCCTTTGCTTACTGGGCCCTTAAACCCCCTTCATGACCAGAGCGCTTTTTGCAATATATGCAGTGTCGGATTTGTTTTAAATGTTGCAATGGTTTTGCGGCTCCCAGTCTTTTTTTCCCTTCGGAAACGGGTCCAAGTGGCTCTTTATGTCTTAAAGGTTGCAGACCCCTGGACTAGACTATAGTTACCATGTTGTATAACATGTTACGAGAGCAGAGTGTGCAGAAGTAGCTCAAAAAGACTTCAGCTGGATGTTATGCAAAATGTTGATGTGTACTTAGAGGCAGCTTGAAAAAGGCAGTCGAGCTGCCCAAAGATTAATCTCTGATAATGGCACAGCAAAAGAGCTAACAGCTGGTGTGGATTAATATAACTTAATATCTGCTTTCATGTGATTAATAGATAGATGGCTAAAACCTTTACCTACTGAAAGCAAGAGTTTAGAGTGTTGCCAGTGTGACAATATTTTACGAGTATTGGATAAGTTCTGCCATTATAAAAGCTAATATGGGGCTCTTGCTGCCAATGTGCCCTTTTGTGAGATCGACTTTGTTATTTTCATTATACTGAAATCAAAGTAATGTAAATAATATAATGTACATGAAAACAGGCCCACATCTTACCACTGCAAACAGTGGCCACTTGACCTTTATACTTTGCCTTTTACTGAAATTATGACAAATGCTGAGTGGAGGTGTTGGCCATAAGTTATCCCTGCTTGTGGATCCCGTGGTTCCCGATCTCTGTGCATGATTGCTGCAAAAGTCCTCAGGCAGTCAAGCACTTTTAGACCTCCTATGGTCTGGGGTCTCTCTTTTTGGTAAGAGGCTGATTTTTGCAGTGGTTTGCAAAGAAGGTGGAACTCATGAGGGGATTCATGGGAGATTTTAAGTGTTACTTGATTACATATACCGTATTTTTTGCTCCATAAGACGCACCTTCGTTTTAGAGGAGGAAAACAAGAAAAAAAATATTCTGAACCAATGAAGTGCAGACATAGTACAGGAAATGACCAGAGACTGCGAACATAGTACAGGAGATGACCAGAGACTGCGGACATAGTTCAGGAAATGACCAGAGACTGCAGACATAGTACAGGAGATAACCAGAGACTGCGAACACAGTACAGGAGATGACCAGAGACTGCGGACATAGTTCAGGAAATGACCAGAGACTGCCGACATAGTACAGGAGATAACCAGAGACTGCGGACACAGTACAGGAGATGACCAGAGACTGCGGACACAGTACAGGAGATGACCAGAGACTGCGGACACAGTACAGGTGATGACCAGAGACTGCGGACACAGTACAGGAGATGACCAGAGACTGCAGACATAGTACAGGAGATGACCAGAGACTGCAGACATAGTACAGAAGATGACTAGAGACTGCGGACATAGTACAGGGGATGACCAGAGACTGCGGACACAGTACAGGAGATGACCAGAGACTGAGAACACAGTACAAGAGATGACCAGAGACTGCGGAGATGACCAGAGACTGCGGACACAGTACGGGAGATGACCAGAGACTGCAGACACAGTACAGGAGATGACCAGAGACTGAGAACACAGTACAAGAGATGACCAGAGACTGCGGAGATGACCAGAGACTGCGGACACAGTACAGGAGATGACCAGAGACTGCGGACACAGTACAGGAGATGACCGGAGACTGCAGACACAGTACAGGAGATGACCAGAGACTGCAGACACAGTGCAGGAGATGACCAGAGACTGCAGACATAGTACAGGAGATGACCAGAGACTGTGGACAGAGTACAGGAGATGACCAGAGACTGCGCACACAGCACAGGAGATGACCAGAGACATAGTACAGGAGATGAGCAGAGATTACGGACATAGTACAGGAGATGACCAGAGACTGCGGACCTTTGGGGAAGCTGCAAACTGTCACAACCGGGTGCCCACACTAAACATGCCGATGCTGAGGAGAGAAGACAGTGAGGACACAGCTGGACCGAGGAACAGGTAGGACCGAGGAGCAGGTTTTGATGCACAGAAGAGTCGAGCGGCTGGTCCGGTATTCTAAGACGGCGGCGGCGGGAATACCAGGCTGGCTGCTCTGTATTTGCTCCATAAGATGCACAGACATTATCCCCCATTTTTTTGGGGGGGAAAGTACGTCTTACGGAGTGAAAAATATGGTATATGTTTGGTGGACTAACCCGTGCACTAACCCATAGTCATCAATCAACTTTTTTCTTACTGATATGACTTCCACATTGTACATTTTGACTTGCTGCTTTGGGTTTCTGTTATTAAGAATAAGAGATCTTTCCCTTATCTAGTTTAGCATGTGTGTGTACATTCTTCAAAGAACATCATCAGCATAAAAAGGCTGCTTACAATACTTACAATATGCCCAACAACACTTTGACATGCCTCACTGGGCTTTTTTGGTGGCACTGGTGTAAGCCGTGTACCGGGATGGGCTCCCCAGGATACAGTGAAGTCACAAACGAGGAAAGCAACCTCAACACCAGCTTTTGCCACAACAGAATTTTACTTAGATGTGGCAAATAAACACAACCACAAATGCTGGAAACATACAATAAATTTACATACACCCAGCCCAAAGGCTGAGACCCTTGTGCTGCACAGCATGGCGCCTTCTGATGGATGAAGGTAGAAAGTGTAGTAATTTACCTACTGGCGGGCACAAATAAGCTTCCACACCTTACCTGTTATTACCCTAAAAGAGCAGGAATCAGTGTATGGGTGTACGGTATGGGCTAGCCTGCGGTGCAGCACAACAGCTTACAATCTTACACAAATCTACAGTATTCCCCCTCCCATAACTCGTCCTGTAGCATGTGCCTGAGTATTCCTTCTGAGCAAAACGCCAGTCTGGCTTGAGTTTGTAGGATTTTATCAGCTCTCCAATGTGAAATGTCACTTTAAGTTGTGGAGTCCTTCCAATAATCAGTAACAACACTTGTGGCCTGACACAAACAGAGACCCTAACTAACTATAGGCTTGGTCGCAGTCTATAGGTGCCAACACTGAAATGAGGTGCGTGCACGTTCTTACCGACCCGGGTCTGCTTTGCATCCGCTGGTGATTCTGAACAGAACAAATGTCTCTCCAACAGGCCTGTGATATTGCAGTGTATGCTGCGTTGTTCCTCTGCTCTCATCAGCTTCCTGGCAGAAATCTCATCAGCTTCCTGGCAGCAATCTCATCAGCTTCCCCCAGCTGCAGCTCACATGGCCCCTTCATTCAGCATTCTCTAGAACATGGCTCCTGCATTCAGCATCGTCCAAAACATGGCTGCAGTCTCCTCTTCCTGTTCACTAAAAGCCCCAACTGTGTGAAAACCCCACCTCTTCATGAATGTACAAATATATATGCAGTCTGAGCCTGTGTTAGAAAAACAGTGACATCTTGTGGCTAAACCACAGAATGTCAGTCAAAACATCAATTTACTCCACACCATAATTTACTGCACACAAACAGTGTTCAAACAATGAGAGCTGTTTTCCCCATCTCACACTGGTGCAGTAAAGGCTTCTTTCTGACAATTTGACCATGAGGCTCATATATTTTCAAGTATTGTCGTATTGTACTCCTTGAAACAGCCACACTGTCTTTTTCCAGAGCAGCCTGTATTTCTTCTGAGGTTACCTGTGGATTTTTCTTTGTAACCCAAACAATTCTTCTGGCAGTTGTGGCTGCAATCTTTCTTGGTCTACCTGACTTGGCCTTGGTATCAAGAGATCCCTGAATTTCCACTTCTTAGGTGATTGAACAGTACTGACTGGCATATTTAAGGTTTTGGATAGCTTTTTATATCCTTTTCTATCTTTTATATAGTTCCATTTCCTTGTTACACAGGTCTTTTGACAGTTCTTTTCTGCTCCTCATGGCTCAGTATCTAGCCTGCTCAGTGCATCCATATGAGAGCTAACAAACTCATTGACTATTTATACACAGACACTAATTGCAATTTAAAAAGCCACAGATGTGGGAAATTAACCTTTAGTCCCATGTTTACCTGTGCGTGTCTGCTTGTCTGTAAGAAGGCCAGACAATCCAGGGTATGTAAACTTTTGATCATGGCAATTTGGACAATTTCTGTTGTTATTATTATGATTTAAAAAGGAGCCAAACAACCATGTGATAATAAAGGGCTTCATCTGATCACTAACCTTAAATAAAAGACAGTTTTTAGGCATGATCAGTCATATTTTCAATATCAATGCAAAAAAATGTCACGATTTCTGCCAGGGTATGCAAACTTTGAGCACAACTCTATGTCTTGTGCTCAGTGATGTTCTTTTTCGAAGCAAGTTGCTTTTGAACTTGGTAATCCTGCCTTTATCAGTACTTCCACTCCTAGGGAGACAATGCTGTCAGTGTGAGTCTATGCAGGCTCAGTGTTGTAGGGATGTTGCAGTACAAGCTGACACAAAGTCATATCATGACACTGTAAAAAAAAAAAAATTGCGGAAAAACCTAATTTTATTTAATTTCTTCATTTTCCATAAAATTGTGACAAAAATTACAATGTCAAAAAAACTCGCCATGCCTCTTACTAAATACCTCAGAATGCCCACTTTCCAAAAAGGGGTCATTGTACTGTCCTGACATTTTATTGTCCTCAAGAAATGAGATCGGCTGTCAGTACATCAAAATTGATTAATTTTCAAATATACTGTATGTCCCATAGTTTGTAGACGCTATACCTTTCCTACAGAAAAACTAATATACCCCTATTGGGATTTTTTTTTTACCAAAGACATGTAGCAGAATACAATTTAGCCTCAGTTTATGAAGATATATATATATAATAAACCCCAGTGGTGATCACATACCACCAAAAGCTCTGTGTGAAAAAATTATATAAATTGCATTTGGGTACAGTGTTGCATAACCGTGCAATTGTCAGTTAAAATAGTGCAGTGCCGCATTGTAAAAAATGGCCAGGAAGGGGTAAAATCTTTCGGAGGTCAAGTGGTTAAGAGAAACAAAGATAACTATATGAAAAACAAATGTCACTGTAAAAGTATAAACTTGGCTTACCTTAAAAGTGAACAGGTCAGTACAGGAGTGGACAGTGTCAGTAGGGTAGTGGATGGTGTATGGACACTGTCAATAGGGCAGTGGATGGTGTCAGTAGGGCAGGGGACAGTGTGTGGACATGGTCAGTAGGGCAGTTGGCAGTGTCAGTAAGGCAGTGGATAGTGTCAGTAGGGCAGTGGACAGTGTGTAGACAGCATCAGTAGGGCAGTGGATAGTGTGTGTACAGGGTCATTAGGGCAGTGGTTGGTGTCAGTAGGGCAATGGATGGTGTCAGTTGGGAAGTGGACAGTGTGTGGGACAGTGTAAGTAGGGCAGTGGACAGTGTGTGGACAGGGTCAGTAGGGCAGTGGACGGTGTCAGTAGGGTTGTGGATGCTGCCAGTAGAAAAGTGGATGGTGTTTGTAAAGCAGTGGACCTGTCAATAGGGCAGAGTTTGGTATCATTAGGGCAGTGGAAAGTGTTAGTAGTTTTTTTATTTTTGTTATTTTATGTATGTATGTATGCAATTATTTATTTTTACCATTTTATTTTTTTTTATTTTTATTATACAATTTTATGTCACATTCCCTAGTTATTTTCTCTGTAGCTTCAGCTGCACTACAGATGAATGAACAGGAGATAGAGGTTCCTGTTTATTCATAAACTGAAACATAGTAAACATGGTCTACTATGCTTCACCTGTGAATGAACACAGTCATTGATCGGTACAGAGACTGTACAACGTGTGTCAGCTTGGCCATTGGTAGTCTGTATCAGGGATGCGAATGTTATGATTACAATGGAGGAGCAAAAATTGTAAGACAGTTGTTACTTTTAACATGGGAGCCTGAACAGGAATCTTCATGGCAGGATCACCAGGTATTATATTATTAAAAGCTGCAAATTTAGAAATATTAAAAATAGGATTTTTGACTTACTTGTAAAATCCTTCTTTTTTGGAGTACAGTACAGGAAACAGGACTTTAGCTATAACCACAGACTATGGGCTGCCATATTCAGGTAACCGGACACTGGCAAACAAAGTTGTTAGGGCAATCCCCCTATAATCCCTTCCACTCCCAGCAAGCCTCAATTTTGAGAAGGCACAAAGAACAGATGGGAGAGAACTGTGTCTGATACTGTACCCCAAGAAAAGTCTTTTACAGCTTAGTAAAAATTCCCTAAATTCGAATAGTACTGTACACAGAACAGTGGTACATCCAAAAGCAGTCCAACTGAGGGGTGGGCAATGCATCCTAGAGTTCTAACACAGACCCTTGTAACTGTAGCACACCTCCAGAAAAGCCACTGGTGATGAGCTGTTTCCTCCTCCCTAGATTCTAGTGTACACACAGCCAGGCACGTGCCATTTTCTTTTTCCGCTAGCTCAAGAAACAGTGTAGGGGTGTCTTTTATATTGTTATTGCAGAACTGACTTATCTGAGGACACCTCTCTTCCCACTAATCTGACAGAACATTCTCACAAGATTCATTACTGGCTGAGAAATGCCTAGGACCTCCTTTTGAACTTAGGTAGGTACCAGGGGTGGACTGACAACTCATGGGGCCCCCAGGCAATAGGGGATCATGGGGCCCCTGTGTCCTTGCCCAAACTCAAAAAAGCCTATGAAAAAGGTACCAGGGGCATCTCATGGGGCCCCCTATTGACCCCCAGCGCTCGGGCAGTGCCCGAGTTTCCAAATGGTCAGTCCGCCCCTGGTCGGTACTCACAATGCCACAGAATCATCAGTTGCCTCCTTCCAATATCCACCGGGCACTCTTCAGTGAGGGAGACACAGACTCATAATACCATAGGACAGCTGGACACTCTCTCCCAACTTCCACTGGGTACTATTCAGTGAGCTCTCCAGACCATAAAAATCCCAGGGCAGACTTTTGGAAATAGTTCTCCTAGCTTAAA